CTTTTGGTGAAGTATATACATAGACTACAAAAATATGGGCATAGTAATATACATACACACACATATATATACACAAACATATATATATATATACCACACACAAACATATATATACACACACACATATTAGATATATATAAATATATGTATATCTATATGAAGCTACTGTATAAAATAGTTAAGAGTACAACATCTTTGGAGCTCAATATAACAATGTCTATCAAAATTAAAAACGCACATAACTTTTGATTTAGTAATTCTAGTTTTAGAAATTTACCTTTCAGATGTAGTCACACATATTTGCAAAAGCATATGTACAAGGATGCTTTTGTAGCTATGTTTGTAATGGAAAAAAAAAAACATAAATTCCCAATGTTATTCATACACGCACATACACTACATGATATTCATCTATACTGCCTTATAACATTTAATATTTATATATATGTATCTGTACACACACATACACATACATATTTTTAAATATCCACCTTGAATGACTGAATTTTTCATTTTTCATCTGGGTGGTCTTGTGTAATGTTGGTGTAGCCCTAGTGAGTGCTGATGAGAAGGGTAAAAATGGTTTATTTTCAACACTTTTACATGAGTACTTGAAGTGCTTCATGAACCTTACTTTGCTGAGTGTCCTAAGACACCTCACCGACCTTCAACACAGGACCTCCCCGCTTATGCAGGAGACCTGGTGAGGGGACTGACTCTCCCTGAAATTTCCCATTTCCTTGAGGGAGTCAAGGTACGGCAGACATAGATTTCCCAAGGTTTGTCAGCCCCTCACAGCAGTAGCTCTGTGTAAAGTATCGTAGTATCAAAGACTCCGGCTTACCTTTACCTAACTCATTGCCATCGAGTCGATTCCAACACTTAGGACCCTATCGGACAGGGTAGAACTGCCTCATAGGGTTTCCAAGGAGTGGCTGGTAGTTTCGAACTGCCAACCTCTTGGTTAGCAGCTGAGCTCTTAACCACTACACCATTAGGGCTCCTGGTGAAATCGTCTGGCTTGTCAACATTGTTGAACTCTAGATATACTGAACTCCAGACTGATGCAACAGATTTGCATTGACATAGCTAGGCCACTGGGTCCTTAGTATGCTGACAGATGGGTTGGGAATCAGATGGGTTTTAGTCTGAACCCCCAGAAATTGTATATATGGATAACATTCATTAAGGAGTCCCTGGGTGGTGCAACTGGTTAACTGCTCGACTACTAGCCAAAAGGCTGGCAGTTGGAACCCATTCACAGTCGCCTCAGAAGAAGACCTGGTGATCTGCTTCTAAAAGGTCACAGCTTTAACAACCCTATACACATGGAGTCACCATGAGTTGAAACCAACTCCACTGTAACTAACAACAACAACAACCGCAACATAACATTCATCGGATTCTCAAAGACAATTATAACACTCTACACACACACACGAAAGATTAGCAATAACCGGATTAAATTCAAGCCTTCCCCTTTAGGATAAATTTAAATGGCATTCATAATTCACATAAATTGCTTTTTGTGGATTACAATACGCGTTACTCCGAAATCCTAAATGTATATTTTTAACTTACTATGGTTCCACAATAATTTAGGGGGATAAATGGCTTTAACTAGTCCTGGATTGGGCATTTTGATAAATAAAACCTTTACAATAACATCCACTGATAGTATTGATATTAAACACTACAGACCATCTGAAGGAGATTTTAGGAGATACAAATCTTCAAATGACTTTAATTAATTCCCGAAAATGTTTAGCAAGTAGCCTTCTGTGCTGTATGTCATGTAATTCCTCGAATGTACTCAAATGAGGTCCTAACACTCTAAAGGCTAGAGAAGGGCATGCCATGCCAGTGCATGCTCAGTGTAGTGGGATGGGAAAGACCACAAGTTCTAGGGTCAGATGGCCTGGGTTCAAGTCCCAGTTTCAGCACTTTCTGGTGATGTGACATTGGGCAAGTAACTTCATCTCTCAGACTTGTAGTTTCCTGAAATCTAAAATACGGATAATAACAATACCACCCTGTAGGGTCATTTCAGTGATTTAGTGAAGTAAACTAAGCACTGAGCACTTAATAAATGATAACCATTATTATTATATTAAGGAGCTCTGGTGGCACAATGCTTAAGCGCTTTGCTGTGAACTGGTTCGTGATTGGAATCCACCAGCAGCCCCGAGGCAGGAAGATCTGGCAATCTGCTCCTGTATAGATTACAGGATTACAGATTATAGGAAACCTTATGGAGAAGTTCTGCTCTGTCACATGGGGTTGCTATGAGTAGGATGGCACACAACGACCACAACAACAACATTGTTATATTATGCCTCAAGTGATGCATATCGACACGTTATAAAAATAAGCCAAATGTCACAAAGTAGAATTCAGTGACGGTAAACCTAGCAATAAGACCAAATTGTATGTGATAGCTTTGGCTATGAGCAGTCTAGATAACTAGATGCCAGATTTGTAATGACTCATTAGTTCGTTTATTTCAGAAGTAAAAGCAGAGCTTTTTTAACAGACTGAATGGCTTCAGGCAGAAGGATGCAACTTCCTAGAGAGACCATAAAAGAATTCAAAATGAAAGGAATCAGTGTAATAATCTGACCAGACAGAGAAAGTAAGACGGTCTTGGAAGAGCTGATTTACATCTGGCATGGAAGTCATCACACCAAAAGAAAACTTCTTATCTTCCACCTTCTACAAAGTACTTGAGCTGCTGGCTGGTGTAAAACCTGGGCTGAACTTGTAGGGTTTCCTGGGATCTCCCTAAACAGACCTTTCACACACACACACACAAAAAAAAAAAAAAATTCTACGCAAAACTAACTTGTAATCTCCCTTTTAGGAGTGATCTTATTTATTTTTAAATTTTTCGTAACACCTTATACTCAAAAGTTTCTCAATTCAGTTTTGTGAATTGAACCGAAATTCTTCTGCCAAATTGGAGTGGTAGAATTTAGTCTGTAGGATTCCGTAAGTAGATGGGTTGCTTCTGAGCCCTGATGGAGTTGTGAATGCATTCTAGGGACGTGTTTTAGCCTGTCCTTCCTGCAAACCTTCAGAGTTCATCATAACCGGCTACCATCCCGGATTTTAGGATTTACTCAACTTATTCCTTATTTCTGGAAGTGTTTCCTCTACATGCTAACCTTAATCTCATCTCTAAACCTCAGAAATTTCTGGAATTCCCTTAAAATATGGCTATTGGGATAAGGATTTCCAGACTTTCATGAAGGGCAATTTACAGGCATGGTGGTTATGGCAACTGCTCCTCTCACAAAGATCAAAGCATCCCCTACAATCTTTCCTAGCCCCACATCACTTGTTTTTACTTATACTGAGCCCGGGATTGACCTCAGGCAAATCCGGAAGGTACATTCCCATTCCTTTATACTTTGGTTGCATTTTAATGTGCAACATTCTACTGTTGGTTGGGTTGTGAAAGCAGAGTTTTACGTATTTGTGTACCAAAAACCCAAACCTGTTGTTGTTGAGTTGGTTCTCACTCATAGTCCTTTAGAATTGTGTGCAGTGGTTAAAAGATTGGCTGCTGACCAAAAGGTTGGCAGTTGGAATCCACCAGCTGCTCCTTGGAAACCCTATGGGGCAGTTCTACTCTGTCCTAGAGGGTCACTATGAGTCAGAATCGACTCAATGGCAATGAGTTCATTTAGGCTATTTTGCTTAATTCCCACACAACCTCAGTGGGTGGGCAATAGCACCTTACTGTAGGGGTGAGGAAACTGAGGCATAGAGATGTGGGGATGTGTCCAGAGTTCCAAAGTAACCTGGAGTCCAGTAGTGTGGAGGTTTCTGTCTGCTGCCCATGGTAATCACACAGTAATGCTAACTACTGAAACTGTTAAACAGACTTTAAGTTGAGTCTCTCAGTCTTGTCCACCAAGTTATTGATGGGTATAGTCAGGTGGGACCTGACAGATTTGGGCCTGATTCCCAGCTCTACCTCTTACTAGTTGTGAAACTTTGAGCATCCTATTAATCATCTGTAAAACTGAGGTAATATCTACTTGTGGATTGCTGGGAGGAGTAAAGAGAGTAACATATCTATCCCAGGGTGTGGTCTGCTGTAGGCACTCATAAGGAGTAACTACATTTATTTACAGCAGGTCAATGGCATTTTCCCATTCACCACTCTAGGCATGTTTCTTCCATGCCATTTGTTTCTTAAAAACCTATTCAAGCCGCCTACTTTCAGGTTCCTTTAGGACAGTGCTTCCCAAAGCTAGCGTGTATATGAATTACCTGGGTACCCTAACTTGCAGAATTTGATTTAGAAAGTCTGGGATGAACTTGCATTTCTAACAAGTTCTCAGTTGATGCCAATAGTAGGTAGAAAGGATGTAGGGAGCTAGTTGCACTTAGGGAATAGATCCTTCTGGACCAGTGGTTCTCAAACTTCACAGTTCATCATAATCACCTGGAGAACTTATGAAAATACAAACTACTGCACTCCACTCCAGAATTTCTGATTTAGTAGGTCTGGGGTAGGGCTGGAAAATCTTTTCTAACAAGTTCTCAGGTGATGCTGATGCTGCTGGTCTGGGGACCACACTTTGAGAAGCCCTGTTCTAGGTCTGGAGTCCCTGGTGATGCAAACAGTTAATGCACTCAGCCACCCAAAGGCACCTTGGAAGAAAGGCCTGATAATCTACTTCCAAAAAATCAACCTTTGAAAACTCTATGGAGCACAGTTCTACTCTGACATACATAGGTCTCCATGAGTCTACATCAATTCCACTGGCAACTGTTTTATTTTTGTTTGTTTGTTTGTTTGTTTGTTTTTGTTTTTGTTTCTAGGCTTAGCAAGGGACTACTAAAGACCAGAAGGGAATTTAGTTCAGATGATTACTTTCAGGAGGGGACAGATCTTCTTAAGCAAGCTCCCTCCTAAGGCTCTTCCATCTTCCCCTCTACACCTGCTCCCCCTCTTGTGTTCAAGCCCAATATTAGCAGGCGCCCTTTACCTTGTAGACATTGATGGGGATGTCAATGACGATGTGCAGCAAGTCTCCCAGAGCCAGGCTGGCGATCAAGATATTGGGTCCATTTCGCATACACTTGTTCTTATAAATGATTCTCAGCAGGGTGGAATTCCCGATAATGCCCAACACGAACACGAGGCAGGACACCACTGTGTTGATGTACTTGAAAGTGTCCTTGATCTCGATAGATCTTTGGCACGGGGGAGGAGGAAGAGTGCGTGGCCGAGCCCCTGCAGTCCTTCCTCCGTTAGGCACCTGCGGAAGTGCGGACGACCTTGGCAGGCTGGCGTTGGACCCTTTCGGCCAAGAGGTTCTAGTGGGAGGTGTCATTGTCTCTCCCATCTCCAGAAGTGGCGGAGTGGCCCCGGCCGGCGGGAATCCTCTCTCCTCTGCCCAGATCCCCGCGACGCCACAGGCAAGAAGCAGCGCCACCAGGGCGCGTCGGCACAGGCTTGGAGGCGACTGCATGCTGCTGCCTGCTGGAGTGGGCGTCTGGTGACCGCCTTGTAGTTTTCTAAGCCTGGAGACCGACAGAGGAAGGAAGACAGGACACTTAGGTTAGTCACTCTATCCACGTCTCTCTGCAAACCGCTAGCGCAGAGCGCTGTCTCAACCCGCGCGCAAAAGTAGCTCGAGTTTGTGCGCCAGTGGGGAACTCCTGCACGCGCGACCCCTTCCCGCCAGTTGAATCTCCCTTTCTAACCCTTCTCCCTGGGCTTTTTCCTCCCTGGCGGTCCGCTGAGGGGTAAATCACTCGCAGTGGGGTAGGGCATTCTGGAAAGGGTGTGCCCGAGGAGGGGGGTCCGAGGCAAATGTCTGAACTTCGCGGTATGCCAGGAGGGGAGACATATACGCTTTAGCAAAGGGTGCGTGGTGGCGAGGAATCAAGGCATCTAGTGCCCCAAAGCATATGCCAATCTCTGCACCTGGCTCCACAGGGGCATCCTGATATCTTGCGTCTGAATCCCGAGACTCCTGCCGGCGGGAGAAAGCCGCTACTCCTGGGCTGGTGGCTGTGTTATGGTTCCACCCGCGCTCCCAGGGGTGTGCGCTGACTCGGAAAGCCTCAGACTTCTCAACTCAGCCCGATTTGGGAGAATATCAGCTATTAAGTTGGAAATTTCTGTCCCCCCAAGTAGTTTCAAACACTCACGCACTCTTCTTTACCCCAATCTCACTTTAACTTGCTGTATTTACACCTTTTATTAAAAAAGAAAAAAAAAAAAAAACAACCAAAAAACAAACCCAAACTAGTTATCCAAGCGGAAGCCCCAGGACAAGATTCAGTCACTAATTTTACTGAAAACCAGGCCAGAATGTTTACCTCGCGGATGGGACCCACCACGGGCAGAGCAACGAGCGGGGACTGCTGGTCCGGAGACGCTGTGTGGGTGGCTGGCGGCGGAGCTGCTGCAGAGGCGTGCTCGGCTCGCCGCTCGGTTCCAGCCGGCTCCGGGAACAGAGCACGCCTACATTCAACTGCAGGCGAGTCTGGCTCTGACGAAACGCTGAGAGAATGCCAGACAGTGTAGCCTCCACAGCTCGCTCGGGGTCTCTGCTGTCCCTGGACAAGAACTTTTATTCATTCGTCCCTTCCCATCAATCACCGCCAAACTCCTCCCGCGCCTTCCGACCGCGCTCCAACCTTTCCCCCTCGGCAATGCCTGGACAGCATCAGCCGGAGCTGCCCGCTGGATAGGGCAGTTCCCGGCCAGAGACGCATCCAAGAGGCTGTTTATTTGTCATAGTTCTAAGTTCTTCAAAAGACAAGCCTAAATCAAGAACAAGTTATCATGCACCCTTGACGCGCCGGGGCTCCAAACTGGAACAGGGCTCTATAACAAACGTGTTACCTGGACTTTTAATGTCTACTGGGACTTTTCTTACAGTTAAATATCCTGTCATGCTGTTTAAGACTTAGTTGGTTTGGGGGCGCTGCTCTAAGCTCTGGTTTTGTTTTGTTTTCCCCCTAAAGTTTCAAGTACACATTGGCCCTGACAAGAAAGAGCGCTGTCCTTTTCTCGCAGGCCGTCTTTTTGTCCCATCCCAGGGTGGTGCAAACGGTTAATCGCTTAACTATTAACTGAAACGTTGGCAAACCCACCCGGAGAAGCCTCAGAAGAAAGGTCTGGCGATCTACTTCCAAAAGGTCATAGCCTTGAAAACCCTATGGAGAGCAATTAAACTCTGTACCCATGAGGTTGCCATGAGTCCGAATGACTCCACGAGCAATTGGTTTTGGTCTCATTATCCAGAGACAGGACTGAAGGGCCTCTCTCTGCTTCTTTAGCAGCAGCTGTTCTCTTTTCCTCAAGGTATTGGGTTCATTTTGCATGCACTTGTCCTTGTAAATGTGCTGATGTGTGATTGTTAGACCACCTCAGGGGCTTTTATAATGCGCCTATAAGGGACCTAATACCTCAGGGGACATAAAAATAATCAGAAAGCTGCCACTCAAATTCAGGATGATATTTATTTACCTGGAAGGGCAATTTAATACATTTTCATATCTATTCATAAGCTCCATTTTTATAGCATAGAGGAAAATAATAGTGACTGATAGTTTTGCCCAAAGATTGTATAAAACACAACTCAGAAGTTTAGGCTGTGAGATGCACACTGGATATTACTCTGCTGTCCCCCCCACTGCGGGATCTGTGACATTTCACGCCCAGAAGGAACCATTCCAGTAGAAAGTTCACCTAGACACCAGGTGACTCATTCTTGGTTTCATAGCTGGTGAAGAGCATAGGTGGGACAAGAATCTTGGCATTTTGGCCCCTATGCAATGTTTTCTATTTAAAAAGGTGAACTTGAAATCTAAAGAAAATGACCAAGGAGTTAGGCCAAAGGAATGAGAAATATGGTCTAGGGTTGGGAGTGCTAATTCCAAATCTGGGCCATCTTGAAGATAGTGCTTATCCTCCCTGACTCAGTAAAAACAAGGTCAATATTCAATTGCTTCATAGCTGAGCTGAATAAGGCTATATAGTGTTATATGAATGAAGAATTATATGCGTGCATTGGTGGTGCAATGGTTAAAGCTCTTCACTGCTCACCAGGTTGCTAACCAAAAGGTCTGCAGTTGGAATCCACCGGCTGCTCCACAGAAGAAAGATGTGGCAGTCTGTGGCAGTCTGTTTACATAAAGATTTACAGCCTTGGAAACCCTATTGGGCAATCCTACTCTGTTCCATAGGGTCGCTATGACTTGGAATTGACTCAATGGCAATGTGTTGGGTCGGGTATTTGAAGTATGGAATTCCTGGGGGGTGCAAATGGTTAACATGCTCTGCTGCTAACCAAAAAGTTAACAGTTTGAGTCCACCCAGAGGCACCTGGAAACACAGACCTGGTGATCTACTTTCGAAAAGTCAGCCACTGAAAACCCTATAGAGCACAGTGGTGCTCGGACACACCCAGGGTCACAATGGGACAGAGGCAACTAGATGGCAACTGTTTCTTTCTTCTTCTTCTTTTTTTTTTAAATTTGGAGTAAGAGTGTTCTCCTCAGTGGCTCCAGTCTGTCTTGAACCAGCCTCTTACATGTGCTTTCTTTCCATCTTTCTTCCCTTCATATATCGGGATGTTATGCATGGGACACCTTTCTCTCCCCTCCCCACTCATTCTTCCATCTTCATCACCCTCTCCATTCATATTTTCTCCAAGTCTTAAATGCCTGTTTGAAGACTTGCTGGGGTCTATCTCTTCTCTTTTCTCATAACACTTTAAGTCAATTAAACATAGTTTAGTAGTTGACCACATCACTATTGATTTCATGTGAAATAATTTCCTTTTCAGGACAGGGATAGGTTTATATATTCTTCCTGTACCGTCACAATACCTGCTACCAACTGAGCTCAAGAAATATTCTTTTATTGATTGATAATTGTATTTAAGTTATTTAATTGTATTTTAGTAACTCTAGTCATAGGGTGGAATCCCTGGGTTGTACAATTGTAAATGCACTTGGCCAGTAACCAAAAGATTGGAGATCTCAGTTCACTCAGAGATGCCTCAGAAGAAAGGCCTGGTGATCTACTTCCTAAAAATCAGCCACTGAAAATCCCATGGAGCACAGTTCTACTCTGACACACAGGAGTGGCCATAAATTGGAGTGGACTCAATGGAAACTTTTTTTTTTAGTCATAGGGCTTAGGAAAAAAGCCAAATAATTTTAAGGCAAATATATACAGCCTTCATTTGAAATTTAAGAGACAGTATTGGCTATACTTTATAGGCACTATCACACATATTAAGGAGACTTGGTCGTGCAGTGGGTTAAATGCTGGGCTACTAACTGAATGGCTAGGGGTTCAAACTCACCAGTGGCTCAGCAGGAGAAAAGACCTGGCTATCTGTGCCCATAAAGATTAACCCATTACCCTTGAGTTGATTTCAACTCACAGCGACTGTACACTATGGGACAGTTCTACTCTGTCCTATAGGGTCACTGTGAGTCAGATGTGACTCGATGGCACCACAACAACAACGCATATATCGGGCACCTTATTCACAGAATCTAATTTACTCTCTCACATCATTCTCGGAGTTAGGTATTATACTTCATGATTTTACAGATAGTGAAACTGAAGGTCAGAGAAGTTAAGCAATTCACTAAAGACCACATAGCTAGTTCAGTGTAGGACCAGGATTTGGAACTAGGATTTGAATTCAAGTCTATTCTGATTACATGGGCTGTGCTTTTGATGAATTTAATAATATAAAGTCTAAACAGATTTTTTTCTCTTTTATTTATTTTAGAATGTTTCAGATATCAGTAATACTTAATTGAAGTTTAACTTTAAATTGAGTTATAATGTAAAGGTAACCCTTTGAAAGATTTATTCTTTGATCTTCATGAGTGACTAATGTCGAGTCCCAAGAACATAACAGATCCTATGCCAGTATCTCTTACTTTCTGTACTCATGCCTTGAATGGTACTGGTATGACCTAATCACTGTTTTTGTTTTTTTTTTTTTTCCCATCTTATAACTTCAAATCTCTTATGGATAAACCTTGTTTGTAAATTCACCAGCAGTAAAAACACTGTGTACATTTCAATTATCCATATGAGCTAGAAGTTGTATCAAATTTTAAGATCCCTTAAAACTTTCAGATTTGAACTAACTTTGCATTTATGAAGGTTTGTGTTTTTATTTCTGCCTTTTTTGTCTAGGTAAATGTGGAATCTTCTACAGCATAGAAGTCTCCTAGGAAGTGTTTGAAAACCCCAGATTGGCTAAGATCACGGCTCAAAGTCAGAGGAAGTAGTGAAAGTCAATGTCCCACTTTCCCCTTTAAATGCTTTAACTAGCGGGTCCTAAAGCCATGGCTGAATGCAACTCTGGATTCATTCCTCAAAGAGGTTTGCCATGGAAAATTCACACAAAGCAAACTTTTTGCCCTGGTAAAGGAACAAAGACAAGCCTTTTAGCCACCAAAAAGTGAATACTATCATATAATCCCCTTGACATGAATCTACCTTTCAAAATCACCTTGAATTCTCTAAATCAAGAATGCTGAGGGACATGGTATGTGGAAACATAGAAAGAGTTGGTTCAGTTGCTTCTGCACACAGACCCCTAGGAATAGATCCAGTGACTAACAGTGGTTGAAGTAACAACATAAAAAAATCAATAGTAAAAAGCCTGAGCATATCTATTTCTTGGATTTTTCTCTTATTTTAAGTGAATGGAACTATTTGGGCCTCATGGTTAAGGATGCCTTTTTTATTATTAAGATATAATTTATCTACAGCTAAATGCATAGAGCTTAAGGGCACAGTTTGAGAAGATTTGACAAATGTATCCCCAAACCAAAACCAAATCCATTGCCTCAATTCTGACTTATAGCAATCCTAAAGCACAGAGTAGAACTGCCCTATAGGGTTTCCAAAGCTGTAATCTTTATGGAAGCAGACTGCCGCATCTTTCTCCCGTGGAGTAGCTGGTGAGTTTGAACCACCAACCTTTCAGTTATCAGCCGAACACTTAACCCAAGGGAGCTTTTTGAAAGTGCATGCACTCTTGTAAAGTATCAAAATTTGAGTATTTTGGATTTGAACAATATTTCTATTAAGACATTCATGAAAACATTTTTTCTTCTTTCATTAAGACACTGTTTCTGCTTTATCAACTTATATTACACATATTATCAGCTGCTATAGTTGAAACGGAAAAAAATATTGAAATTGTCAAGTATTTCATCCTACTTGGATCCACAATCAATACCAATGGAAGCAACAGTTAAGAAATCAAATGACACGTTGCACTGGGCAAATCTGCTGCAAAAGACCTCTTTAAAGTGTTAAAAAGCAAAGATATCACCTTGAAGACTAAGGTGAAACTGACTCAAGCCATGCTGTTTTTAATCACTTCATATGCATGAGAAAGCTGGACGATAAATAAGGAAGACCAAAGAAGAATTGAAGCCTTAGAATTGTGTTGGCGAAG